GGCCCCGACTCATAGCGACCCCTCCTTGGGTTTCCGAGGCAGTATCACTACGGAAGTAGGATTGCCCAATCTTCCTTCCGAGGAGTGGCAGGTGGGTTTGAACCGCCAGCCGTCTGGTTAGCAGGCAAGTGTCTTAGCCACTATGCCACCAGAGTGTTAGACCTTATGAAAAACAAAGGATAGTTAGATGCAGCCAGCTCCCAGGTTTTAATGATTTCCTCCCATCTCCACTGTGCTCAGGGTCATGTCTGACATTTCCAGGTCTATGTACCAGAAAGGAAAAGGGTGGGGAATCACACTGGTCACCTTCCTATAATTACAGACTTGGGCTTTCCTCTTATCCCCTGGGAAACTGACTTGAAGAATTAACTGGGCTCAGGGGGTAGAACTGGAGGAGGTGCTTCTCTTTTCTTCCTCTGGACCTACTATCATGAAATATCTTTCTACCCAAGGGCTCAAACTTTATTTAGCACAAATTAACTCAAAGCCTTGAAAAGATTGGCTACTCCTGTTTTTGCTGATAGAAATTGATCTGTCCAGGGTCATTGAACTGGCAGGTTAGTGGTTAGTGGCAAAGCTGGGACTAAAATTTAGGTCTCTTGGCTACCAACCAAATCCTCTAAATACTTAGACATAGGGAAATAGACCCTTTCTCTGCTGAAGGTTGCAATCAATAATTTTTTCCCAGTAATCTTTGGATAAATAATATTTCTTTTGTCTGAAGACAAGAGGTTACTTTGTTCTCTGCTTATTAATGTGTCTTTTTTGAACAGTCACATTGTACAACTACTTTTGAAAAAGCCTGGGCTTGCAAGAGCCTAGGCAGCTTTGCTACGTCAGCACAATTCCTTTTTGTTTCAATGCCCTTATGTGGCGGTAGTTGGCAGTGTTTCAGAAATGGGGACTCCTGAGGGGTGGCTACTTCAGTTGCCTGTTTGTCCTGTGAAAGGGAATCTGATGTTTGCTAGTTTACTAGTCCCCTGGTTTGCATTGCCAAGGGAAAAGACTGATTTTTTTTTTAAGGAAACTTTAGATAGCTTGAAACCTCTGATTGGTTCCATTTCACTTTTTAGGAGTCCAGTTGACTTTACAGCCAGCCTTTACAGTTTTCAGAAGTAAATTTCCTACTTATTTTTGCAATATCATTTCCTTTCTTTCTCTCACAGGTTGCCTGTCATGCCCCTTTGCTTGCTCATAGAATACTTCCCTTTTTGCATGCTCCTCCGTTTTTTTTTCCTTCCTTAAACAAACTTGAGTGCTTTTCTTTAACCTGTTGTAACCTGTTAAGCAACAACCTTGAAGTAGTGGTAAGAAAAATAGAGGCAAAACTGAAAAAAAAAAAAAGACTCTAACATGTTGTGTGCTGTTGAATTGATGAGTTGATTCTGACTCATAGCTACCCTATATGACAGAGTAGAACTGCCCCATCTACCCCATAGGGTTTCCTAGGCTGTAATCTTTATGGTAGCAGATGGCCAGGTCTTTTCTTTCATGGAGTTGCTAGTGGGTTCCAACCATGGACCTTTCAATTAAGCAGCCATGTGCTTAACCATTGTGACACTGTTGTTGTTATGTGCCATGGAGTTGGACCCGACTCATAGCGACCCCTCCTTGGGTTTCCAAGGCTGTATTACTACGGAAGTACATTGCCCAACTAGGGCTCCTTAAGTCAGGCATGATACCCCAATTTTACACTAAGAGACAGTGAAGCTATGGCGAGCGTGGCTCCTTTGGGAGCTTTTAATGGAACTGGACCTAGACTCCTGAGAGTTCAGGTGCTGGAGACTTAAATGAACAGATTTGCATTGGGCAAATCTGCTACAAAAGACCTCTTTAAAGTGCTAAAGAGCAAAGATGTCACTTTGAAGACTAAGGTGCACCTGACCCAAGCCATGGTGTTTTCAGTAGCTTCATGTACATATGAAAGCTGTACAATGAATAAGGAAGAGGGCAGAAGACTTGATGCATTTGAGTTATGATGTAGGCAAAGAATATTGAATATACCATGGATTACTAGAAGAACAGGAGCTCTGGTAGCGTAGTGCCTAAGGTACTTGACTGCTAACCAGAAGGCTGGTGGTTCAAACCCACCAGCCACTCCTCGGAAGAAAGGTTGGGCAATCTATTTCCATAGTGATACTGCCTCAGAAACCCAAGGAGGGGTCGCTATGAGTAGGGTCCGACTCCATGGCACATAACAATAACTAGAAGAACAAAAAAATTTGTCTTAGAAGGAGTACAGACAGAATGCTGCTTAGAATGGCCAGACTTCATCTCTTGTACTTTGGTCATGTTTTCAAGAGGGACCAATCCCTGGAGAAGAATATCATGCTTGGTAAAGTAGAGGGTCAGTGAAAAAGGGGAAGACCCTCAAGGAGATGGATTGACACAGTGCTGCAACAGTGGGCTCAGGCATAGCAGTGATTCTGAATATGGTGCAGGACTGGGCATCGTTTTGTTCTGTTGTACATAGGATAGCTATGATTTAAAACCAACTTGACAATACCTAGCAACAACAAAAATAGAGACTTAATATTCTTATTCCTACTAAATCAGTATTTAAAAAACATTTTATTTTGAAATAATTATATATTCACAGGAGGTTGTAAAGATAGTACTGAGATGTGCTTTGTATAGTTCACCTAATTTTCCTCAACGTAATATAAAACCAGGGAATTGACATCACCCAATATGTGTGTATATTTGTAACACATGTGTGTATATTTGTGACATTTGTAAACTTCTGTAAACACCACTTCAATCAAGATAAAGAGCTGTTCCATCACCACAGTGACCCTATGTACAACAGAATGAAACCCTGTCCCTAACCCCTGATAACTACTAATCTGTCCTCTGTGTCTATGTCATTTCAAAGTGTTACATAAATGGAATCACACAGTGACCTTTTGGGATTGGCATTTTTCACTAAACACAATTCACTCAATGTTCATCCAAGTTGTTAATATGTATTAGTAGTTCATTTCATGTTATAGTATTCCATGGTATAGGTACACCACAGTTGTTTAACGATTTACCCACTGAAGAACATTTGAGTTGTTTCTAGTTTTTGGCTGTTACAAATAAAGCTGCTGTGAACATTCATGTACAAGTTTTGGTATAGACATGATGCTGGGTTATGCAGACCTTCTATGTTTAACTTTTTGAGGAATTGCTGGACTGTTTTCCAACGAGGCCTTTTCTTTTTTTCTTGCCTGTGTTTTCCAAAGTGGCTGCACCATTTTATATTCCAACAGCAATATATGAATGATCACTTTCTCTCCATCCTTGCCAGCATTTAGTAGTGTCATTATTTTTTATTTTATCCAATATGATAGGTGTGTGGAGTGATATGTGACTTTGTGCCTGAGGCAAAGCACAGCAGTGTTTGAGGGTAGTAGAAAAGGAAGATTTCAGACAAAGGTAGAACAAGTGAAATGTCTACCAAACCAAACCCACTGCCACTGAGTCAATTCAGACTCATAGTCACCCTATAGGACAGAGTAGAACTGTCCCATAGCATTTCCAAGGCATTCCTTTGGTGTACTCGTCACCCCACCAAACTCAAACCTGCCGTTGAATCGATTCTACTCATAGTGAACCTACAGGACAGAGTAGATCTGCCCCCAAGGGTTTCTAAGGCTGAAATCTACAGAAGCAGACTGCCACTTCTTTCTCCCATGGAGCAGCTAGTGGGTTTGAACCACTTACTTTTTGGTTAGCAGCGGAGTGCTTTAACCACTGTGCCACCAAGATTCCTGTACTCCTCACAGGAGAAACTAAAAGCAGAGCTGTTGAGAATCTAGGAGATGAAGAAAATGAAATAATCCAGAGGGCAATGAGAAGAGAGTACACATTCACTTAGTAAGCTGATGCCATGGCAGCTTGGATAGATGAGATTGATTCTTGAGTATTTCTGCTCAAACACATGTCTTTCTGTAAGAGTTTGGGGGTAGGGAACAGCACTGCAAGAGGTAGCTTTTGCTTACCCACTTGACTTTAGCCCTTTTGATCATGGGCCTTCCAAGAGGCTACGTGTGAGAAAATGACCCATGGTAATGGGATACTCTATCCTCTTTGGACTACACTTTAAGGCTGGCAAAGACCTTGTCCAGGATATTTAAAGAAAATGCTTAGAATCGGAATCAAGTGGCCTCATATCCATGATCACTCACTAAGGGAGTATGAGAAAATACCAGGGAAAGATGGAGCTTTATAATCAAGGACAACAGCAGCAATCTTTGGTCTAGGTCATACCATCACCATACTGCCTTAAGTGAGTAATGATACATGTTTATAGTAATGGGTGATCTTACCTTTTAAATCACAGAATTACATTTTGGAGAAGTATTAACATATATGATAATAGCTAACATTTATATGGCATTTATCCCTGGGGGTCACAGATAGTTAAATGCTTGATTACTAACTGAAAGGTTGGAAGCTTGAACCCACCCAGAGGCACCTTGGAAGAAAGGCCTGGTGATGTGTTTCCAGAAATTCAATCTTGAAAACGTTATGGAGTGCAGTTCTACTCTGACATACATGGGATCACCATGAGTAGAATTAACTTGATCAAAACTGTTTTTTTTTTCTTTTTTGGGGGTGTGTGCCCCGAGGTAATTTTCTAAGGTGATTGTGTCATCTTAATCACTTACCTTCTAATTGCCTTTGTCAAGTGAGCAGGGTTACTGTGCCCTACGTGCCCCACCCTCTCCTCTGGGGCCTTTTTTTTTCCCCCCTTCTTGCCTGTGTTTTGCTTTAAGGGTACTGTGTGAACATGGTACTGGGCACTGGGTTTCTTCCTAGTCTCAAGGCTCCAGACTTTAACCAAAAGGAATATTTTCTTGATGTGTTCTATTTTTCCAGTTAATTTTTTTGTATGATTTTAGCTTTACAAGGACTCAGAAATAGTATCAAAGGGATCAGAATCAAGATACACTCCATATTACTACTTATCTTCATCTGCAACTCTTAGATATTGTCATGCAAGGCCCATATAGAAATATTTTAGATGGAATTGGTTTTACTTTCCCAGGCTTTTAGGGTTAGCTCTTGTGTTTTTAATTTTTTAAAATTTCTTTTTAAAGTGTGATACATATACTTGAAATAGTACAAATCATAAGCTCAAAGAACTATCACAAAATGAGCACATTTGTATAATCATATAGGTCAAGGGCTCTTTAATAGAACATTACCAGAGGCTCCTTCTTGTGCCCTATTCCAGTTAGTACTCCCAGCCTACTCTTCATGGCTAACCACTATCTTGACTTCTTTTAATTATTTTCAAGGTGAGTTTTGAACTTCATGCTTATTTAATTGGTTCACTAAAAGTACTTCTCCTACTCTTTGAGGTAACAGTAAGTTGATCATGGCTCTGAACCTGAAACTCTTTCTTTTTTAGAGTGGATTTTAATGTTCCTATGAAGAACAACCAGATAACAAACAACCAGAGGTAAGATTCCGGCTACGACTTGAGCTAGGTTTAAGGTGTACGTCTTATGGGAATATAAGATTAAATGATTTTCCTTTATTATTGTAGAACTAATAGAATTTAAGGCATGTGATCTTGGCTTTCCACTAACCTACCATCTGATCCACTTTGTTATGAGAATGTCAAAACTGAAAGTTGATATTCTAAATTTTTGAGAACGTAGAAATTGAAAAAATAATCATCAGAGTGAGTTTTATCTCCTATTTTTGAAAATTTGAAGAATTTTGGGTTATGCATTTTTAAAAAATATCAACGTTTAAGGTTACCTGGCTCCTCTTGGAAAAGAAAAAACTATGCAAGAGAAGTATTTTTTAATAGTAATAATTATTAAGCTTACATGTAGTTATATAAGCCCCTATTCTAATTGCCCCAAATAAAATCAGTTTTTGAGAATTTTTATTTTTACTTCTAGCAAGTAGAAGGGAAAAGACTTCAGAAGGAATGTTTTCAGTTATTTCAGGCTGCTACAAACACAAACGTCGTGGCTCTTAGATTCAGAAGCGGAAATTTAAGTGATGGTACTGCTGTTGCTTTTGATTAGTTTCTTAAAAAAAGGTTTTTATTTTAAATGAAGGATTTGAGCTGGAAAGGTACTTACCTACCATCTGGACCAGTATTGTTTAATGGAAGTATAATGTGAGCCACATATGTAGTTTAAAATTTCCTAGTTGCCACATTAAGAAAGTAAAAAAGAAACAAGATTAATAATATACTCTATTTAATCTAGGCAATTCAAAATACTCATTTCAACTTATAATCAATATAAAAAATTAATCAAGTGGATATTTTACATCTTTTTGGTACTACAAAGTCTTAGAGATTCGATTTAGACTAGTCACATTTCTAGTACATGT